ATACTCTCTAATGCAAAATGGCACATACTGTTTACTGAAGGATCATTTACGGTGAACCAAAAAGATTACAAGATTCTTCCATGTATCTTAGTCTATTTTATAAAGTTAAAAATTTGGGCAAATTTCCACAAATCTCTTGAAATTAGTAACACCTTCAGAGAGCCCAGATTAAATTAATCTTTTTCCCTCCCTTTCTTCTTCTCACTTCCCTTCTCTTCTCTGTCAGATTTCTTTCTTCTCCCATTTCCCTCTCTCATGCACCTCAACCCCTTACTCCCTTATCTCACCTCACTCCTGCCTCCTTTTCCCTCCCCTTTCCTTCCCTTCCTTTCTTCTCTCCCTTGTTCTCTCTCTCCTTTTCCCTCCCTCCATCTTTTTCTACCTCTATCTGTCTTCCTGTGTTTCTTTCTTCTCCTTTGTTACATCTGCTTGTCTTTCTTGGAATTTATATTCTGAATATAAACTATTCAAATACATGGAATAAACTCATGTTAGAATGAACTAAAAGGACACCACAGCTTCACATTTTACAACTACTCTATAATAAGTATCGTGAAGAATTATTGAAATACTTACCCTGAAGCGTTATATAAGTCTGCAAGCTGATATAGAATATCAATTTCTAGTGGTGTGACTTGTCCATAGCGTATGGCACTCTGGGCAAATTCCTCTGGAACAGAGGAAGAAAAATGTTAAAGTCTTAAATGATTCTTAATACAAAACAAAGTTCTACCTTCACCAACTATAATACAACCTGAAAGCTACAGGCATTTTAGTATCATTTTTAAAATCTAAAATTGAATTTAAATATTTAAGTTCAACTATACAAGAATATGCATTTCTGAAGGCTAGTTAAAGATAAATTAACTTCAAGAATAAAACAATCTCTTTAGAATCTCCTCTTATCTTGCTTATTCACTTTGGTCTCCAGAGTTATAATGCAAAAAATGTAAGTGTTCTCCAGTCATTCAAAACATCCTACTACCACTCACCAAAAGGAGTAGGCTTGCCCATCCTTCTGTGGCAACTCCTTCCTAGTACAAACAACCTGCTGCCACAGTGCCACTGACCTGTTTGACAGATTGGGCCAAGGTTCTTTTCAAAACTGTCAAAGCCACTTTTCCATTCCTGACCTCAGTATCACATTAAATCCACCTGGATTTTTGGAACCCAAGTAAAGCATACATATACATGGTAACGTACTTTCTAGATCTGGCTTTAAAGTGGTAAGCTTAGATCAACATCATGCCTCAATGAAGACAAGTGAAAATGCTGAGATTCTTATTTATATACATTTTAAAATCTTACCCTTTGTGACTTCAACATCTTTCCTTGTGCCAGCTAGAGTGCTATATATCTTACGAACAAGCTCCATGTTATTCAGTAAGGAGTTAAATGCATTGAAGTAGGAGAAGCTAACCTGGTGTGAGATACTTCCTCCAGCTGCCTAGAAAATGACAACACAAAAAGTTTAAAAAACAAAACAAAAACAAAAAGACAAACGTTTATGGACACTGTACTTTTCTCAAAGAGGATTCAAAGGAGTCTTCATTATTGAAATGATGCTAACAACCAGTCCATAAATACAAGGAAAGTATCACACTGAAACAGTGCATTGCATGCCCTCAGGGAAGCCTGTGTAATTTAGGTCTGAAGGAAGAAAGCAACATCTGGAAGTTGGACTTCATGGTTCATCTACCTATAAGGTCAAAAACAACAAATATAATTATCACAGATCAAAACAATAGTTATTTAAACAGGATCTTCAAGACCCTCAACTGTGAAACTCTTGCTAGTCCTGGATAAACAAAACATCACTGCACAATCTATGGAACACTTTTAAACCTTGTTTTCTTCCTTCATACACATACACAAAACCCAACTGATGACTTTAAATTTTAAGACAATTTTATTATATCAACTTTTCCTAATTGTTAAGGCCATTGTTATAATTAAAATACTTAACAGTCTGTGCTAAGCTCTAAATTTGGATCATGAAGGGTACAATTATCAAAAACTCCAAAAAATGCAGAAAATCGGGAGAGAATTTATTCACTGTTGAGTTATGTCTTCAATGGAATAGTGCAAAAGAGGCTCTCTCATGCATGAGATGGGGGGCAACGTAGTCTTCATTACCTCTGCAGGATGAAGAGGTAATTTGTTCTCTGCCTACCACTTGGACATAAACTCAGAAGAGAATATCTTGCATAGTTTGCAAAAGCTTCACTCCCAAGTCACAAGTCAGAAGAACCCATATGATTGAAAACATTCTCCTTTAAAAATGCAAAGAAATGTTTATGTAAATACCAATGTGACAACTTTAATCATAAAGGTCTAATACAAATAGTGTAGGTAATGATGAGCAAATATATCCCACCCCACCACCCCCACACACATGCCTTAATCTAAATACAGTTTATATTTGTGTTAGCCTGAATTTGGATATCAGCAACCCAAAAGTTGGACTCAAATTATTTCATATATTCCTCTGAGGATTAGAATTGGCTTTTGGTAAACTGAGGCTATTATAGTAGGTCTATCTAACCTAGTTGGAAGAGATTAAATGAGTCCCTTCCCACTAAGGTACTGAGTCCCTCCCTCTAGGGTTCTCTTTTTTCTCCCTCCTTCCCTCCCCCCTCTTCCCTCCTTCCCTCCTTTCTCTCTTTCTCTCTCCCTTTATCCCTTTCTTTCCTTCCTTCTTTCATTTTTTTGGTTGGGGTATGAGGTGAGGGCAGGGGAGTGGGGGACGGTGTCAAGGAGGTGAAACGTGTAGGAGAAAGTGACATGCTCCATGTTCAGATTCACTGAAGAAAAAGAACAGAAGTTGATCTTTCTACCCCAGTCTAAATCAGGGATAATGATCTTCAGCTGAAACAACAAAGGCACTCATTGGCTTCCCTCCATTCAAAACAAGCAGTAATCAAAAACTTACACATAAGTACAATGCATGGACAAGAAAACGGGTAAGCGAGGAAAGTTTCACCACTCTATGTGAGGAAGTGGATGACAGGAGTTTGCTATTGGTCCAGATGATTACTTTATGGAGATTAGCAGTTTGACAGAACAGAAAACTATGTCTGGTGCATACAGACTGAATGCACAGGTGAAGGGGCAGAGAGAGGAGTAGTGAGCCACAGAGGCTGATGGCCACATACTTCCTCCATACCTTCTGCCATGGGTATGGTTATTAGAACAGTGCAGAAGCCAGTGACGATCCCTCCAGCAGATAGCACCCTGAAGGCAACAAAGGAAGGAGCCATCTTTGTAGCAAGACCTTGGGAGCCTGGTGGTGTGGAAAGAGGCTAAGATGAAGGCAGTAGTGTCTGAGAGAGTTACTGCCCACTGGAAAAAGTAATTGCTCACCCTTGTCTATAAGCTCTTGTTTCCCTTGAACTGGACTCTGTAAATGGAAATAAACAATTTGGAAATACATGAGAGCAAGATGGTGGCTCTGAAAAAAGCTATGATCTGGGAAAAGATAACTCACAGTCACCTCTACCCCCCTTACACACACACACACATACACACATACACACATACACACGCACACACACACTTGTTTACTAACAACCAAGCATGAAATCTGAATAGTTGAGAGTCATATGAGTCCCTGGAGGCAATCCAGGACTCAATGGATCAAAAGGTTTGAGGAAATAGAAAGTTAAAGAACTTGCTTTTTACTTACTGAAACTAAGTTCTCCTCCACAAAAGGAGTAAGCATGTGAGATCTAATGGTAACCATGATGTCACTGAAATCCAGACCAGAAATCATGCCACTTTTGCTTTTGTCTTTCAGTGCAAAGGCTTGTCTTGCGTGTTCCAACTGTAGCTCCTGTAAGGAAATTAGAAACAGGGCATTAAGCTGGTTAAAACATTCCAAGTACATGGTCTGGAAAGGAAGGAAGGACAGATATCCTTCCCACACATGTACTTACTACAAAACAATGCACAGATCTGAATTTACAACAAAGCTTTTAATTTCTTTGTAAAAGCATGTGCTTTCTTAAAAATGTACTATATACTACTCCTCAGGAAAAAGAATGAATGAGAGCATATCAATAAAGGAAAGGTAGGAAAAAATAACCCTTAGATTTTACTTGACAAGTTTTCATTACTGAAAACAGAGAATAATGTTTTTGGTGCTTCATTTCAGCCTTTAAAATATACAGTAATTTATCTCTCCTGCTTGAAGGCTTACCTGTCATCAAAGAGTACTTCATGAATTAAGAGTTTAGGTTCATTTTCAGTTTTTCAACTTTAAATGTTGCAATCAAAGTCTCTCTCTCTCTCTCTCATTCTATAAATGAATTAGAGACCATTTTTTCAAACAAATTTTTCAAATAAACTCAGTGAGAAACTCTACCAACTGGTAAGTACAATACTCAGTCATTCTAAAATGAAAGTCAGGAATAACAAACTGCAAAAGTAGTGCTGAGCTATCACTGGCTCTGGGTACCGTTTCTCATAAACTGTAAGACAGTCCAGAATATCTCTGAACTTTTAAACTATTGGGCAACCAAACTTTGTAATAAGTGATATCCACAAAAACAACAAAATGTGCCAGTAATCTCCTGTATACTATACAAAAGTCAAAATCAGAGCATTTCTGTTGTGGGGATCCATGACTAAATCCAAAAAACTTGTTAGCAAACATAATAATGGTGTTGCTATTGGATGCCACCGTCATACTCTTTGCAACTCTGGAAATAATAGTCATATCTAAGTATATACATATTATTTAAAGATAAGATTACATAATTTTCATTCACATTTACTTATCAAAGACTACAAATTAATGTTGCTTTACCTTTTCCTGACTTTAAAGATGTTTTTTATAGAAGTCTCACCATTTTTATTTAATTATATTTCCTATGGACTTGTGATAACTCACTCCATTTTCCCATGACCTCAGCTCCAACCACTTCACACTTCAAATAAAGTGTATACATCTACATCATTAGATGGATTGAAAATGGTCCCCATGGCAAAGACATTCCTAAAGAGCATCAAAAGCAGACACAGGTTCACTCCCTGTCTTATACACCTTTTTCTTTCCTTCTACCTTCTTTCCATCTCTTTCTTATGTCTTTTTCTTCCCTATATGTCTTAATCTCCCAGAAATATCAAATGGTAGCCATGGGTACAATTTAGCCTTATGAATAACACTCAGTACTAAAGAAGATGTGGACCTTTACCTTCAAGATGAAGCAGAACGCTCACTGAAGGAGTAGTGTTAGTAGAATAGATTGTCTGTTTTCTAAAAGGTCAATAGTTAAAGGACTCTTATTTATCTTTTAAAGATACATATTTGAAGGATCACACATGAAAAAATCATAGAGTATGTGCATCTGGCTTCCAAATGATCCTGCAGGAGGCAGGGTGAAGGGTATACATAAAAAAGATTGGCCAAGAAGTGGTAATTATTGAAGCTGGTTATAGGTGCAGGACGTTCATTACACTATTCTCTCTGCTTTTGAGTATACTTGAAGTCTTCCAAAATAAAAAGGTTTCAAAAAATAAAATTAATGACTTAAAAATGAGAAGTTAAACACAGAAAAAAAGGAGTTACATACATGCGGCTCTCAGTTTACACAGTATAATTAAAACATCAGGGTATAAAAGATATTGTAAAATAGCCTCTGTAAATGCAAGGAAAACAGTGAGAGAGAGAGAGAAAGTAATCTTCGGAAGAATCTTAAACACTAGTCAGGCAGACATTTCCTTTTTTAAAAAAGTCAGCTCTCAAATGCATATATTTTCAACTTTTCAAGTTTGAGAATTTTATAAGGTGAGTTAGATAAGCACTAACAGGGAAAGTGTTAGAACAAGCACTGGCATCTCCAAATACCCACACCTAAAGCCCACAGTTTCAAATCTGTGATCGTCCTAATGAAGAAAAACAATACTGTGGGCTTATAAAAGGTAAAATAAATAAATCCTGGGTTAAAAAGGCAGGTAGGTAGGTAGAAGGGTGGGTGGATAGGAGAATTAAAGGGAAGATAAAGAAAGGCAGTTATGCTGAAGGGAAAGATCCCATGCCCTTGAAAATGCATTTCATCTAATTATGAGATGAAAATTAGCAGAACTTCAGAAACAATGTGACTTTGGATGAGACTGAACTTGTACATTTAACTCCACTGTCTTCCAAAACGCTACTCTTCACTTAAATAACAGTAAAAGAACAAAACAAAATAAAACAGAAACGTAAGGACAAAGACAACAGAAAAGAAAATAGCAACTATATTTTTAAGATCAGAAAGCAGAAAAGCAAATGACAACCGACTTAATAGACTCAAAAAAACTAAGCAGAAAAAGCCAAAAAGGAAACCAATGTACATGATAGGACCCCCAAAAGATTCAGTTATTAGCTGCATTGGTACCTCTGGAAGTGACGGTGAAGGTGGAGCTGAAAACAAGGGGCTTAGATGGAAGTCTAAGAAGCAGTTAGTTACCTGCCTTACTCCAAATAAGGCCTCCACCCTTTCCCAACCTTGGCAGAAGACTAGAGGTCTACTGTCTGAGGAGTTTAACAGAGGATCTCTGAACCAGCATAGACTACACACAGTTGAGAGGGAGAATACTACAGTGAAAAAAGGTAATAAACTGAAAGTCCTTCTGCAAAATTAAACATTGAGACCTCCAACTACTTATTACTCAGTAACCAAAACATCAAAAGCCAGATCTAATATTCCAGATTGGAGACCAGATAATTTTTCCCTGATTCCCTAATCCGAAATAAAAGACCTAGCCTAGGCAACCTGGCAAAACCCCATCTCTACAAAAAATACAAAAAATTAGGTGGGCATGGTGGCACACGCCTGGAGTCCCAGCTATTCAAGAGGCTGAGGTGAGAGGATTGCTGCAACCTGGGAAAGTCAAGGCTACAGTGAGCTCTGATCCTGTCACTGCACTCTAGCCTGGGGGACAGGGCAAGACCCTGACTCAAAAAAAAAAAAAAAAAAAAAATGTGGAGAAAGCAGACACTATGCAAGAAGAAAGCTTTAAAAAAACAACAACAAAGAAACCTGTCTTTAATATCTTTGAAGAAGTGAAAGAAAAGAGTACATCCATGAAACAAGAACAGTATGCTATTTTTTAAAAGGAATATTCAGAAAAACCAAAAGAGCTCCTGAAAATTAGAAATACAGCAGAAATACAAAATAGAAGGCTCAGAAGGAAAATAGGAGAGAAAAGAAAACTAAAAGGTCATAAATGTAACATTTAATAGTCTTAGAAACTAAGAAAATACAATAAGAAAAGTAATAAAATTTTCAAGAATTGAAGGATATAAGTTTTCAGATTAGAAAAGCCCAATGAATGAAAAGCCCAGACTAATGAATAAAAATAAACTCACGCCAAGGAATACCACCATGAAATTTCATAAACACCAACGAAAAGAAAAAAATATTAAAACACTCCAGAGTGGGGGTGGAAAAAGTTTCAAGACTAAATCAAGAATGAGAATGGCACTGTGGCAACACTGGAAACTAGAAAACAAAAGAGCAATGCTTTCAAAATTACAAGGAAAATAAACTCTTACTAGAATTCAATAACCAGCCAAACTATCTTAGTGTAATGGTGGAACGAGAGGGATATGTTTGTTTGTTTGTTTGTTTTGAGATGGAGTCTCGCTCTATCGCCCAGGCTGGAGTGCAGTGGCCTGTCCTTGGCTTACTGCAACTTCTGCCTCCCAGGCTCAAGAGATTCTCCTGCCTCAGCCTCCCGAGTAGCTGGGATTACAGGCACCTGCCATTGCACCTGGCTAATTTTTGCACTTTCAGTAGCGACAGGGTTTCACCAAGTTGGCCAGGCTGATCTTGAACTCCTGACCTCAAGTGATCAGCCCACCTCGGCCTCCCAAAGTGCTGGGATTATAGGCATGAGCCAAAACACCCGGACTGTTTGTTTTTTGAGACAGGGCTCACTCTGTCGCCCAGGCTGGAGTGCAGTGGTGGGATCATGGCTCACTGCAGCCTCTACCTCCCTGGGCTCAAGCGATCCTCCCACCTCACCTCCTGAGTAGCTAGAACTATAGTCATGTGCCACCACACCTGGCTTATTTTTGTATTTTTTGTAAAGATGGCATTTTGCCATGTTGCCCAGGCTGGTCTTGAACTCCTGGGCTCACGCGATCTGCCCACCTTGGCCTCCCAAAGTGCTAGGATTACAGGTGTGAGTCACTGCCCTCAGGCAGAATAAGAGGTTTTTACATATGAAAAGTCTCAAAAATATTTTATTCTACTTTCCTCAGGAAGCCACTGCAGGAAGTATTCTACTATAAATAAGTAAACCACCATAAAAAGAGAGACAACATGCAGCAAACAGGAGGTTCAACGTAACAGAACGGCAAATGGATTCTCCAAGATAAAAGTGAAGGGCGATCACAGAATTACTCCCATGCAGCAAGCTTACACAGTCTGGCTTCTGGCCCTGAAGTAGGTCAGGAAGCAATACGAAAATGGTGCAAGTGCTGTGGAAAACAGTCAGGTGGTTCCTCAAAAAGTTAAACAGAATTACCATATGACCCAAAAATTCCACTCCTACGTATATGGCTGAAAGAACTGAAAACAAGTATTCAAACAACTATTTGTATACATATGTTCACAGCAGCACTATTCACGATAACCATAAGGTGGGAACAACCCAAAGGTCCATCAGCTGATGAACGGATAGACAAAATACAGTACATTTGTACTATATTATACAATGAAATAGTATTCAGCCCCAAAAAAGGAATAAAGCACTGATATACGCTATGACATAGATAATTCTTAAAAACATTATGCTAAGTGGAAAAAAAAAACGATGCAAAAGTTCATATTGTTTGGCCGGGCATGGTGGCTCACACCTGTAATGACAGCACTTTGGGATGCTGAGGTGGGTGGATCACCTGAGGTCAGGAGTTCGAGACTAGCCTGGCCAACATGGTGAAACCCTGTCTCTACTAAAAATATAAAAAATTAGCCAGGCATAGTGGCGCACGCCTGTAATCCCAGCTACTCAGGAGGCTGAGGCAGGAGAATTGTTTGAACACGGGAGGCAGAGGTTGCAGTAAGCTGAGATCGCGCCATTGCACAGCAGCCTGGACAAGAGCGAAACTCTGTCTCATCAAAAAAAAAAAAAAAAAAAAGTTCATATTGTACAATTCCATTTATATTAAATATCCACAATAGGTAAATCCGTAGAGACAGAAAGTAGGCTGGAAGTTGCCAGAGCTTGGGTGAAAGCAGAAATAGAAAGTGACTGCTTAATGGACGAGGATTCTTTTTGGGATGATAAAAATGTTTTAGAATTAGATACACGATACTGCGAATGTACTAAATGCATTAAATTGTGCACTTTTATTTTATTTTTAATATTTTGTAGATGGAGTCTCCCTCTGTCACCCAGGCTGGAGTACAGTGGTGCAATCTCAGCTCACTGCAACCTCCACCTCCTGGGTTCAAGCAATTCTCCTGCCTCAGCCTCTCCAGTAGCTGGGATTATGGCACTCGCCACCTCGCCTGGCTGATTTTTGTATTTTTAGTGGAGACAAGGTTTCACCATGTTGGCCAGGCTGGTCTTAAAGTCCTGATCTCAAGTGATCTGCCCGCCTCAGCCTCCCAAGTGCTGGGATTACAGGCGTGAGCTACCACACCTGGCCTAAATTGTACACTTTTAATTGATTAATTTTATGCAAATTTTACCTCATATTTTTTTAAAAAAGAAAGAAAGCTCCTGGAGAGCTCCAAGAAGATGAAATTAATAGAATACCTAATGTGTTTTAAACGCATTAAAAAGAGATCTTAATAATAGGGCCAAGGTTTGAGAATGACTTAGTATTAGTACATAGAAAACTAAACAAATGAAAACTAGAAACTCCAAGAACAATAACATAAGCCAGTTGCGGTGGTTCACACTTGTAATCCCAGCACTTTGGGAGGTCAAGGTGAGCAGATCACTTGAGGCCAGGAGCTCAAGACCAGCCTGGCCAACATGGCAAAACCCCATCTCTACCAAAAATATAAAAATTAGCCAGGTGTGGTGGCACACTCCTGTAATCCCAGCTACTCGAGTGGCTGAGACATGAGAATTGCTTGAATCAAGAGTTGGAGGTTACAGTGAGCCAGGATCACACCACTGCACTCTAGCCTGGGCGACAGAGTCAGACTGTCTCAAAAAAATACATAATAGTAATAACTTCAGCCACCAATAGTATTTACAAAATTCTAATAACTCATAGGATTACTGATCTAAGCAGAATCATGACAGAATTATATTAGGGGGAAAGGGGACAGAAGTCCAAGTCTGTGATAGACAGGGAGAGGAGAGAGGTGAAAGAACTAGCTTCTTTTTTTGTTTTTTTTTTTTTTTTGAGACAGAGTCTCGCTCTGTTACCAAGGCTGGAATGCAGTGGTGCGATCTCAGCTCACTGCAAGCTCCACCTCCCAGGTTCATGCCATTCTCCTGCCTCAGCCTCCCGAGTAGCTGGGACTACAGGTGCCCGCCAGCACATCCGGCTAATTTTCTGTATTTTTAGTAGAGACGGAGTTTCACCGTGTTAGCCAGGATGGTCTCGATCTCCTGACCTTCTGATTCACCCACCTCGGCCTCCCAAAGTGCTGGGATTACAGGCGTGAGCCACTGCACCCGGTCATAAAAGAACTAGCTTCTAATCTTCTATAGTTAGGATACAATTTAAAAATACTTAAAAGTAGAAAATTAAAAAGTAGAAGTGCTCTACTATTTAAATAAATGGAAGTAAACACTGAAAGAAATAGTTACTAAGAGTTTAAAGAAGTTGCCTCTGGCAAGGGGAAAATTTAAAAACTAGGGGTGAAATACCATGGATAACTTCTATTTTTGTAATAAACTTAATAAATACAAAAGGGAAGGACACAGAAGAATAGTATATATTGATACCTGTTATGAAAACTAAGCTTACCTGGAGAAACTGCGTGAATTCTGTGTAGTTAAGATGCTTCTTCCGGTTATGCCCAAAATGCAGTCGGATAAATTCACAGTCCCAGTTAAAAGGGATATGATGATGAATAATAGTCTGTCCAAAAATTTCTTTGACATTTTCTTAAAAGGGAAAACAAAAATAAATCAATTACATCTGGAATAAGTAGTTTAACCCACTGCAATGTTCCTACAGAAAAAAATTAAGAGAAGTTTTAAAAGTCAGTATTATCTGCTTCTATTAAAATAACTGCAATTTTTTTTGTGCCCAGAAACCATGCACAGGAACACAATTGATACAAAAAAATATAATTTTACACTTACGATTATGTACCATTGCATATAAGGCCATGAGATTCTTAATTTCTCTTTATTTAATTTTAATTAGAAAGTGATTTCTATCTCACATTATAAATGGCTGCTACTTTACATCCTGTACAAAATCAATAGTGTTTTCCCAGTTCCTCAAGGAGTCGAATTAAACCCTTTATCAGAAGCATGAATACCTAAATTACAGTATAATGCAATATTTGTCATACTAAGTATGGTTTGATTGAGGCTTGATTATTACATTCACACTAGCCTGAATGTCTACTGAAGATAGGTATAAGAAAAACTACCAAAAGCGTATCATTAGCTCAGCAGCAAGCACCTTATTAAAAGCTTCTGATATTGTTAAAAATATGGTCTTGACACAAAGCTTCAAAATCCCCATAAAATCCATGATTATTAGTCTGAACTATTAAAATATTTTAAGATAAGTTAAATTAGTGATTCACTTTTAAATAAAGAGTTAAATACAGTACACTAATTTTTAGATAGGAACTAGTCGCACTGTGTAACATACACCCAAAACCCTCTGACAGCTTGTCTTCATGCACTAACAACGTCATTTTCATTCTTACAGTGATCTATACTTACAATAAAAGTCAATTCACAAATGACTGGTACTTTAACAAGCATAGACTGGATAAACTAATTTAGAAGCTCATGCCAAAAAACAAAAAAAAAAAATCATGAACGAAGTTAAGAAAGCAGGAAGCCTGTTTTACTGATGTCTTAAGAACAAAATTATTTTCAAATTTCAGCCAATTTTATCAGTGAAAGGGTTTTGCCATCAATAGCTATCAGTTATACTACAGAATCAGTAAATACACGTTTAAGATTTTATAATCTCCAACTATGCTATTTTCTCTAATTTCTGCAAATTCTTTAAAGAAGATACTGATCTCATATTATAAATGGTTTAATGGATTCCCTTTAGTTTTATATATATACACTTTTTCTTAATAAAGCATTATTATTGGGATAGGGGAATGTAAGAATTCTGAACTGAACGTTCTACCAGTCTAGAGTCAATATAATATCTCTGAATAGATTGCAGCAATCAGCAAAGTTGGAAGAAGGCATTGGATGTCACTGGGGAGATGGGATTCTCATCTTTTCTTTCAAATGGAATGCAGGATTCATTTCCTCTCTAAGGAGGGACAAAGACTTCAGAGTTTTCAAATAGATCAAGCATTTTCACCTTACATAAATACAAATTTAAAAAGCGAAGAATTAACCCAATAGCAATTTGTGGGATCCCGGTTTCGAACCAACACAAAAGATGATCCTTAAATCTATGTGAAACTTCCAAGTTGTAAAAGATGTTAAAGTTTATAAAACAATTAAAATAATAAAGATAGCAGAAAAGGCCGGGCGCGGTGGCTCAAGCCTGTAATCCCAGCACTTTGGGAGGCCGAGACGGGCGGATCACGAGGTCAGGAGATCGA